AGGAAAGTAAATGTTTAGCATAAACCACATTGTCTGAATAAATAGTGTAGGCACAGTAAGCCACGCTTATCAGTTAGAGTGCTGGGAACCCTCTTGATATTCAAGTTCCCAGAGGCCAGCCAAAGGCCCACTTGATCAGGAGGTCTTTCAAAACACAGTAATCATACTTGCTATGTTAACTCCTTTACACAAATGATAAACATCATTGTATAACAACTAGGCAGAATGAGTAGAAACACAACAATTACTTTTAAAGTATGATTAGAGTACTTTAAAATTTAGATGTCACTTGTGCTGGGTATGCCGCTTGCCTTCTCAGAGCCATACCTGAGAGCTTGGCCTTAAGTTAATAAACACCATTTTGTCATTTCGGAAAAGAGGATCTTAAAACTGGTTAAAGAAGTAAATACAGAAATAAAGTCAGCAAGAGAGTCAACCTTTCTCTTGCTTTCCCATGTCTTTTCTAAATGTGTTTAAACTTATTTGAAACTATGAAATTGTGTTCTTATTATTGAAAAAAAATATACCAACCACATCTTTTGGTCAACTTAGTTCAGTTTCTGACTCTTGTACAGGGGGTCTTACTCCCCGGCGGTCCACTAAAGCTTGTGGAATAGGCCTCATTTCAAAAGAGTTGCTTTAAATGCACAAAATAAAATACATACTATTGCAAATGAAATACATTATATTAACTTCCAGTATTAATTCACAAGACAGTTATCTATGTGCTTTTTTATTAACACAAGAAGATCATTTAGCAGCAGGTCTAATAACTACCATAATAACTAAGTAGTGATGAGCATAAACCACGTTTCAGCATGTCTTCAATAAACACAATATGATATGAAACTATTGATTTCTTTGGGTATTAATAATACTGTAGCTTGTTACCAACCTTCATAATTAAAGGCAACGCTAAATTTCAGTTAGAAATTAAAGAAAATAAAGATGTAATAACTTTTCTCATCCAAATTTACAGCTCTCAGGTAAAAATTTCAGGCTTCTAGTATCATGAGGTCAGGAATTCATTAAATCATTTCTCTCAGTTCACAAACTACTGGACCAAGAGTAAGCAGACTTGCTTTGTTTAACCACAGTATTTAAAAAAACAAGCAAATCAGTCACATAAAAATGTATACTTCTGGATTCTCTGGAGGAAAAATATGCGGACCAAGCAATACTGACATTCTAGCAAAATAACGTGTAACCAGAATGAGTAGCAGCCACCCTATTCGTATATGTTGTGAACTCTCCAGTCTTCACAGCCACATAAGCCGTGTCTCACTCAGGGGTACTATCTACCTTGCTCCTGTAGTCCCCTCGTGTGTGTGTGTGTGTGTGTGTGTGTGTGTGTGTGTGTGTGTGTGTGTGTGTAGCCACTCCTTACACATGTCATTTTCTATTTCATGATAACCCTCTGGCTGGGTGGCCAGTGGTAGAGATTTGTTTTCTAATAAAGGGGAAATGATTCTATTTGCATACCCATTTTTCATCTCCATCTAACTTCCAGTCCTCCGTTTTCAGTAACTGATACACTAAAGGCAGTGGAAAGCCACTTGTTTTTGTAAATAATGTCTTACTGAAGCACAACTATGCTCATTTATTTACATACTATCTTTGGCTACTGCTGGGGACTGAATTATGCCTCCCTCCCCCAGGAAAAATTCATATGTTGAACCCCTACTCCCCAATGTGATGATATGTAAGAAAGGTAAATTGGTTTAAATGAGGTAATGAGGGCAGGGTCTTCATGATGAGATTAATGCCTTTATAAGAAGAGACACCAAAGAGATTGCTTTCTCTCCCTCACTCCCTCTCTTTCTCTTCCTGCCATGAGAACACAGTGAGAAGGCACACATCTGCAAGCCAGGAAAAGAGCCCTTATTGAGGAACTCAATTAGCCAACACCTTGATCTTAGGCTTCCAGCCTCCAGAATTGTGAGAAATAAGTTGCTGTTGTTTAAGCCACCCAGCCTGTGGTATGTTGTTACAGCAGCCTGAGCTAAGACAGCTGTTTCCATATTAGAATGACAACGTTGAACAACTGAGACAGAGACTATATGGTTTTCAAATCCTAAAACATCTACTTTCTGGTCTTTGACATAAAAAGTTTGTCAACCCCTGCTCTAGTTGTTGGATGAAATCACCAGTTCCAATTCTAGCATTATATATAGAGGGGCTGAAGGATAGTTCATGTGAACTTATTTTCATAACTAAAATCTTGTTTTTCCTTAATGGGGATGAAAGCAAGCAGCTGAAACGCTATGACATTCTTCCCTATTGCAGCCACCAAGAACTGCATGCTACACAAATCTCTCCACTGAGCCACCCTATCTACTCCTATGGCCAGAGGTGTAATCTACAACGGCTGAAAATCTAGCTTCCAAATCTGCTCCCTTGACTTATTAGGAGCATGCCTTTAATTAATGGTTATGACAACTATATCAGTAGCATACGAAGAACATACAACAGATGTTCATTGCAAGCTTGCTTACAATAATAGCAATAAAAACAAAAACTTTCTTATTAATAGCTCATTTGGGAATGAAGTTAAAGTGATTGAGTGAATGAGAAACACTGTAAATTATTGAGTGTGTGTCTGTGAGATAAAAAATAAAAATGTCATGTACTCTGACAAGCCAAAGCAACAGGGTGTAGTCTAAAGAATATGAGTTTTAGAATTAGATAGAGAGGATTCAAATCTAGGCCCTTACCTATAATGTGTTTGGTAACTAGCTTTCTTATTCTCAGAAGTTCAACCTCCTCATCAATGAAATAGAGATTATACTGCCTCATCTACGGCCTGTTGACATTTAATAAGATTAGTTATTATATGTAAAAATGTCGAAGTGCATGGCTATAAAATAGGCTCTCAAAATGGTAGTTATTCTCATGAATCATTGTATGATATTTTCTCAGTTTCTCTTTTTTATGAGTATATTTTTTTTCCTGACTGACAATACACGTGTCCCCACATTTTTTAAGTTATTGAGACTGTCCATCAATTACAAAAAGGTAGAGTTATTAAAACAAACAAACAAACAAAAACTGGTACTGGTACTGCAGAGACAGGTGCACCATTTCTAGGTCCTCTTAAAAAAAACTACACAAATTTCCTGCCTCTAGAGGCAGCCATGCTGGTATGTGCATTCAGCTCTTATAACCAGTGTGTGTGTGTGTGTGTGTGTGTGTGTGTGTGTGTGTGTGCGCACATGCACATTTGTTACCCAATAGAACACTCTTTTTGCTTTTCCTCCTCTCCTAGAGAAGTACATGCTCAGGTGTATGGAAAAAAAAAAAGAGGCAACGGAGTTTTGTGATGAATTCATTTTGAAGAACTACAATTTATTTTCTTCTGGTGAGTTCTTAATGATCTCTCTTTGAGACTTTGCGTTGCAAATATGTCAACTGGTGATCTGATATTAGGCCCTCTGGGCCTGAGTTTCCTTGTGTGTTTTGAAGGGAAAATAACTGTTTCCACTCGCCCCCCCCAGGAATATTATACACATCAGATGAGATTCTGTGTAAATAACATGTTTTGAGAAGGACAGTGACAAATAAGATCTGTCCTGAGTACTGTCCGACAATGGATAGGGGTTTCAGTAATCTTGCAGTATGTGGAAAGATTACAAAAATGGCAAAATTTAGATTGGAGAAGACTTAAGATATAAGAGTTTCAAATATCTCACAGGCTACCTTCTAGAAGAGGAATTTTCTCATTGGAGAAGGTTGAGCATAAACCAAAGGAGATATATTTCTGCTTAATAATAAAAGGGACTCAGAGCTTCCTGACAAATAAGCAAGAAAGTTCCCTATTTAGTTCATATTTGGCACCTCTCTTTCACAAACAGCACTACCAATTACATATACGAACACGTTTCACAAATCTGTGTTTCACATGATGTTCACACTTCACTGTAAGCTCTTTGGCATAAAGACTCTGTATTTAGTCTTTGTACCCTAGACAGCTCTTTACATTTTGTTTTGCAGGTTGTTCAATAACTATTAAGAAAAATGTAAACTAAAAATGCTATTCAAATGTAGAGCAAATATTGTGACATAGCTACTACAAACATGACTCCTGTAGTCTCTTCTTCTTTTAGAACCCCAAGCAGGGAATTACAATGATTTGCTTATGTTTATTTCTTTGTTGCTACAGTAGAGATGTTAATTTGCCTCTTGGCTTGATTTTTTTCCCCCTCCATGTTAAGTACAGGGAAAGTTCTACTTAATGGGGTAGTGGAAGAGAAAGCTCGTTATTTCAAAATATTTCAGCATAATAGACAGGCAATCATTTTACATGAAATTCCTTCAGTGTAGTTATCCAATGTGTATTTCATTCTTGGCAACAAAAGATCCCTAGCCAATGTTCAATGACCTATAAATCAGAGCTAGGATATTTCTTTATGCAAATTAATTTGTGTCACATCATTAATAAAAAGGAAAATGGCAATGAAGATTATATTTGCAGCAGCAGTGCAAATAAAGGATTCCTATACCTATTTGTAGGTATATCAGTATGGCTAATTAGTTTTTGAGATACTGTGCTTGAAAAAATTAATGGGGAGCAAGCCTTATGAATGATTATTAAATGAGGAGGTTTTAAAGTGAGTCAGGAATATAAAACAGGCAACCAGTTGGATTAACCTTACCAGCTTAAAAAATCCATATAATAGAGAGGCACTAATGTTAATTGTATGGCAGTATTATAAACCCCCAAAACACACTAATGATATTATAGTATAGTTTGTTTCTCCTAAAGTCTTTTTTACTTTGCATCCTAAATTATAATGATTCAAATCTTTATCCATGTACTCAGGGGCTTTTCCCTCTTAAAAAGTAAACAAAATATAAAAAAAAGAGAAAGAAAATTATGTTACTTTACATTGCTGGGAATGCATTGCTACAAAATAAAATAACTTTTCCACTCTTCCACTAATAGAGCATGACACATTAACCCTCTGGATATTAATAAGGGGAAGTAGATCCAGACAACATACCCGTTTCCTTAGATTGCAAGTAAGAGTGAGATTCCTTGAGAACGAGTTTGCAAAAGCAGTATAAAAATCCAGGACTTTAAGCAAAGCTTCTCGCTTGATGATGTGAAGGTCACAATACGTCAGTGCCCGGACATTGGCACAGGCGTGAGCAAGGGTGGTTTCCTTCCAGAAGATGTCTCCAAATACATCGCCTTTCCCTGGAAAATAGCATAAGATATGTATTCATGTTATCTGTACTAGTTCCTGTCCTAATCACTATTTTTATTGAGTTTTCTATATGGTATTGATCTTTTAGCATAATTTAGAGCCTGAGTGTATAACCTCATCTATATACATGTAACAATGTACAACACTTTTATATAATATGTCAAGTAACATCACCCTGAATTCAGTTCTTGATGGAAATCTGGAGTGGTGTAAATAAATGAAATCAGACAGAGAAGCCAAAAACCTCATTTTAACAAATAGTTTCATTATCTTCTGCTACCTTAACTTTTCCCATTCTGACTAGAAGAAGTAAAGGTTACTTCTTAGTTTCATCTTTTCTTGTGCTTCTCCTGGTAGAGATGACAGTAAAATGCAATATACGAGGATATACTGTTATAGCCTTTATAAATCTGGAACCCATTCGACATATATTAAACATACATTATTCAGCGACTAAGCCTTGCGCTCCAGGCAGACTAAAACTCACCATGACTTATTCTCCAAGGATGCCCTTCCCTCTCCACCAGCCAAACCTTATCCTCAGGACCCAGCCTAAGAGCTCCCCATCCACATATAGACCCTAAGGAGCTGAGTTGGGTAAAACGTGGGGATTCAGATTTCTTATGCCATAAACAGTTCCATAAAAGAGTGCTATACTGCAGTCAAATGCAGATGTCTTTTTAAAATTCTAAAAATTACATAGAAATCTACTATTCACTTCAGAGTACATTCCACCTGGTGATCTCGACTCAACAGTTCACCATCCCAAATCAAGTGTACTTTGTTGCCCAAAAAAAGGGGAGATGAGGAAGAGTCAGAGATTAAATGCCCAGAGCCTTCCTGTTGAGGAAGTTCCATAAGAACTTTGGCCTCTGAAGTGTCCTCAACTGCATTCTTTGTTCCTCTGTGAGAAATGAAAAGTTTTAAAGTGGAAAAGATGTGGAATATGTTCAGGTGGGAAAATCTTTCTATAGACATTCTGCCAAAGACTTATTCTTTCTGTACTCTAACCAGAGAGATGAGCACATACATACGTGCTCTCATCATGAAGATTAAAGTCGGAACTGACAGAGGAAAAAGGAAGAAAGACGTGTTATGATACTTCGGGCTGGCCAGACCACCGGAAAGAAAAAATAACACGTAACCAGAGGGGGCGAGAACAGGGGGAGAGAGAGAGAGAGAGAGAGGGAGGAGGGGGGCGGGGAGAGAGAGAGAGAAGGAGGGAGGTGGAGTAGGACAGATTACAAGATTACAGATTCTTCACCCACACAAGCGATTTGTAAATCCTTAGAGAACCACAAGGCACTCTGGGAGAGAAAAAGAAAACATGCATATTATTGAGGAGGTAATTAAAACCACCATGTAATCATATAATTGGCATAAAATAACCATAATGGACATTTAATTAATGTCGAGCAACCTCATTTGTTTCTGGACCCTCAAAAATTCCTTTTAGTTAGTGACACTGATAACTCAACTGTCCGATAGCCATATATTTGTCCAAGGAAGAATAATTAGGGACCTGGGGCCCAGATAAAATGTCTAAGGTTATAGAGCATCATGATAACCTATGGGAGACTTTAGCTATAGAAATTTAAAAGATTACTCAAATAAATTTCAGAAATCTGTAAATGGCATTCTCTTCAAATTAGCAGTTCCAGCTATAGGTATTTATTCTAACTACATTATTAGAAGTGCCGAATTTACTTATTAAAATGTTCACTTAAGTAATATTTATAATATCCAAAAAAGGTAGAAACAAGATGAATATGAATGAATGAATGAATGAATGAATAAATAGATAAATAAATAATGGAATATTATGCAGTCGCTAAGTATAAGCTGAAAAAAGTGATGGAGAAATGTTCACATTGTGTAAAATAATAAAAGCAGACTATTAAATCACACACTCAGTATGAACTCATTTTATTTACCTTATCCAACTCCCCACCCCACCAGAAACATACAGATATGCACGCAAAGCAAATGCATTAAAATGGTAGGTTCTCTTGCATTATGGGATAATGGATGGATTTTATTTCATCTTATTAATTACATGTATTATTTTTTTGAACAGAAGAGATTGACAAATGTTATGTTATCATAATCCCTGGAGCTATGAAAATAACAAGATTTATAAGGGGCTGCTTTCATCGACTTCTTGTTTCTTTTCCTCTATTGTCATTGTTACTCTGTCTATTCTGAGTTTTTCCTTGAAGAGATAGAAAAAGAATTACATTTCTTTCTGTTTAATTTCTGTGACCTTTCCTCAAATTATCACTCATAATACAACCTCTGACCCATTTAAAGTGCTCGTTCATTTTCAACTATTTGATTTTCATGTACAGTAACTACAATAATAATCACTGCCTTTGACTTAGTAATTTCACTTCTGAGAATTGATCAAAAGATTTAGAACCAACACATGTCATAGTCATAGTAGTGTTATTAATCACAATCTCAGATTAGTATAAATAAATAAAGACATAAAGAAAGTCTAACAAAAATGGAAATTTATCTATCAATTCGTATAGAATTAAAACTAGTTTTTGAAATAACAGACAAAAAATTGCTTACTATATAATGTTAAATTAAAGAATAAAGATACAAAAAATATGGTTGGTTACAGATATAATAAAGTATATAAAAATGAAAGTGAAACTCCAAGACCAAAAGAATTGTTAATTAAAAGTCTACTTTTTCTTATTTTCTTAAAAAAAAAAACTTTAAAAAATAGCAAACTTTCACAGATGTGTTTCCTTACACTTTTTAGTAAAACTGAATTAATATGTAAATAGATCTAAAGAATAATAAAGAAATATGCATTAGTGGATAAGTGCACCATCAATAGGTAAAATATTCTCAATATATAAATGAATGTCTCTTTGACAAAGTAGACCATCTTTAATTGTGGCAGCATTCAAGTCTCTGTTATATATTTCATTTTACCTAACTGATGATTAAAATCTTTATCGTATTTCTATCAAAATATTTTTTAAATTATTTATTTTTTTCGTATCACAGAGAAATAAAAAGCCTCTAAAGCAGAAAGAACAGAATTAAACTAGAATATAAACTCATGAGAGCTGAGAATTTTCTGTTTTGACCACTCCCATTAACCTCATTTCAAGAGCTCAACAAATATTTACTGAAAAAAAAATAGATGAGAGAAAGGGAGAAAAAGACAGAACGAATTGAGAAATGCTAGATTAGAGTTAGAATTGAGGCTCATCCACTAACAGTGTGGCTTAGATCAGGTTATTGAGCTACCAGAATCATTATCTGTTCTTTTGACTCCTTGGAAGAGGGGAAAGAGAAACAAAAACTAAAATGTTTAAGTTCTCTACACCTATAACTCTAGAGTAAATCAACTAAAAAATCAGTGTCTCGTTGCCTAAGTAAGTAAGTAAGTAAGTAAGTAAGTAAGTAAGTAAATAAATAAATAAATAAATAAATAGATAGATAGATAGATAGATAAATAAATAAATAAAATAAAATTAGAGCCTCTCAACTCCAAAACCCATTACAAGGTTGTTAAATACCAGAGAAGTTAACTGACTCAGCCACAGTTAAACTTATCCCTAGCTCTTTCTCCTAAAAAAGTTTAGAGAAGCATCGTAAAATTAACAAATGTGCATAATTCTATTCTCAATATCAGAACTCTTATTGCATAATGAGCAATATTAATTGTTTTACAACACAGAATTCCCATTAGGATACATAATATATTGTTTGGACATTAATCAAATCAACCATTTCAAAAGGTTTTATCCAGTTTTCTATATCACCTAATTCACTGTTTCATTCAATTCACAACAAACTTTCTGGGAAAATGGTCCTCTTGTAAATCAGTTAATGTACTAGCCAAAGTAGAGCTAGCTAATGTCCTTCTTCAAGGAATATTATGCACATTTACACTGAGTGATCTGCAGAAATCACAGGCTGTAGATATATGGGATTATGCATGGAATATCCAATAAAGAAGTACCCTTTTCCTTAACACAAAGATTTTGCACACTTCCAGGGCGAGGAATTCCTGTTTATCTTCATGACTATAGAATATTTGATGCTAGTTTTTAGGTCAGCTCCCACTGGGTGCAAGTAGTCTTAGCTATAAACATTTTAGAGCCTGAGAAAACTAACCTTCCCCCAAAGCCCTAAAATTAGTAGAAAAGCTCACGCTCAACATGAAAGTTGTTGTTTGGTCTATTTATATTTTCTCAGTTCTTTGCATCAAGTCTTATGAAGTATTTCACTTCTAAACCACAGAAAATGGGCTTGTAAAATAGAAGTAAATGTTAAGATTCACAGAGTAGGAAACTGGAAAATTGAAAGATAAAACAAAGACAACATTACAACATAATTAAAGGAGTAATACAGACCATGGTATGCTTGGGAATTATGGTCTCCTGAGGTGCTGGTTTTACAGCCAGAGTGTTTTTTAAAATGTGAAACACATTATTTGGTGACTTAATGACATGGATAAAATAAATGCATAAAAATTATTTCAGTTATTTATTCGTGAGTACGGCTATTTAATACAGCCCACGAATCCCTAAAAACATAGCATTTGAAGTTCACTTAGGTAGCTTCCTATGAGTATATGTGGAGGTATGTATACTGATGGTCCTATTTGATGATTCTTCTATAAAATAGACTTAATCCATTTTATTTATTAGGTAGCCTTATACTCTAATTGCTTATTGCAATAGGCTCATGAACTTGCTTTGGAATACATATGCACAAAATATTCACTATGAGTTTTTAAATTATACAATTTTAAGTGCTTTGACTATTTACAAACAGGAAATGTCATAAAGGAATATTTTCAAAGAAAAGAACCAAGAGAACAAGACAATGAGTATTTAAATTAAGAAATTATATAGATGTATTAGAATAAAACCTTTTAAAACATTTAGAATTGATGGCTGCCAATCTTCAGTGATCAATGTCCAAAGTCAATCAGTTGAAAAGTATTTTGGATACAAAC